AAAGTTCTCATTCGTTGCCCCTTGCCTGGCTTCCATAAACAGAACCCAGGGCTTTTATACTTTGGCACTGCATGAGATTACCGTATGAGGAAATATGTCCTGATCTGATGTCAGTTTTGGCACAGGACTTGAAAATATATTGTAAATCAAGAGAGATGCCTGAAGCCTGAGCTTTTAATTTACAGGGATTAGTTTTACATAAGCTTACCAAATGATTATGCACAGAGGTTCCTTTTTGAACTGTTACAAGTCAAGACCAGAGCATGTTTTTGGATAAACCCACCAGCCCACCACATGCAGTAAAACTGCATCTATATTGTCAGATGTGGACCAGAAAAGGGACAGAGAAGATTTGGTTTGCAGCACAAACTGCAAAGTTACAACCAAACCGAGGCATGTAAACAAAAATCACATGGTCTTGCTTTCTTGCTTGTTGGACAGCGTTTTAGTAGCCTGTCATCCTGCCAGGCTAAAGATTTAGCAGCTCTGATTTGACTGTAAATTCAGCTCAGCGTGATGGACGCTGTAAGTAAGAAGTAAGAAATTAATCTCTCATTACTCGACTTGCATATTTTCAGGTTCAAGGTTAAGAGAAAATCACATTGACATGAGGATATTTCAGATCCTGAGGCAGCCATGCTGAAGACGATAGCTTCCAGTGATTCCAATGACAGTTCCGTATGTGGATTATTTTTATTCTTTCCACTGCTTCTTTGTTCGCGAGGGGACGCCACGGCGGATGGAGCCGCATGTTTGATTTGGCACAGCTTTTTCTTACGCCTCATGCCCTTCCTGACGGAAATCTCCCAGGGATTTGTGTCTCTTCCCGGTCTCGAAATGGGACTTGTTCATGTGTTAGCTGAATGTGTTAACCACAACACCATGAGTATAAACCACTACAGGGCCATCCACCTCTGGGTGCTGCATTAATGAACCACAATGATCTATTTGATAAAAACAATGTGATTGTATCCATGCATGCATGGAGTTGTGAGGATCCTTATCCATGCATTTTATTTTATGGAATCCATGGAGCCTGATGGGTGGAGACAGCTTTTCTGGTTAAAATGTCTCTTAACCATCCAGCTAAGGCTGATGTCAATTTATTTTTCTATTATTTGAAGGTAATAGAAAATCATTTAGTTTAGGAAATGTCAAAAAAGTGAACGTTGCCGTCACAATTCCACTGAAGTGGCATCTTTAAAGAGACTGTTTTTTACTTTTATCTATTTGAACAATTCTTGTTTTTGAGAAAATAATTGGTATTTTTGTCTAGATAAATGACTTAGAAATTGCAGTTTATTATTTTTTTTTCTCCTCCCTCTTAATTAATATTTTCAGAACAACAGTCCTCACGTAATTTGGTGCTCCATGCATTTATTCAGATCATATTGTTCAACTTCCCAGTTATCACTGTGTGGCCCGCCGTGACGGAGCAGAAGAAAGACCTCCTTATCTTTACTGTATGATGTGCATTTTGAGCAGATAAAAGCAAAAGAGTTTCTTAAAGAAAGGCTTTCACTGTGAAGTGTTTCCAAGAGAACTCTGTGCAACAAAAGGCTGCTGGATTATAGCAAAACTCTGAATCATTAGATTAACTAATATTGACACCAAAATCATTAAACAGGACTGCTTCTTGGCTTTGGGTTAATCATGCATCGTATTTCTTGTTCGTCATCCGACTCCTTGGACCCAAAGGTTTTCAAACGGCTGAATTGGTTTGACCTTTCTGTTTTTGACTCAAGCTGTTTTGAACCTGCAAACAGCTTTGTAGGGGGCGAGACCTTTAGGGAGGGATGAAGGTGCCACACTTGAAGGGAACGGAGTACACTGGATTTATAGCACAAAATGGCATTACCCTATTATTGTCTTGGAAGCTAAATAGCACGTGTTTTAAGTAGAACCTCCCACTTGCATTACTTACATTTACACATCTTAAAACCACTTTAGTTGAGACGGGCTGAGAAGGAGATATCTCTGTGCTCATTTTTTGTAAAAGTTGTGTTACAGCACAACTACAGTGGGGCAAAAAAGTATTTAGTCAGCCACCGATTGTGCAAGTTCCCCCACCTAAAATGATGACAGAGGTCAGTAATTTGCACCAGAGGTACACTTCAACTGTGAGAGACAGAATGTGAAAAAAAAATCCATGAATCCACATGGTAGGATTTGTAAAGAATTTATTCGTAAATCAGGGTGGAAAATAAGTATTTGGTCAATAACAAAAATACAACTCAATACTTTGTAACATAACCTTTGTTGGCAATAACAGAGGTCAAACGTTTACTATAGGTCTTTACCAGGTTTGCACACACAGTAGCTGGTATTTTGGCCCATTCCTCCATGCAGATCTTCTCGAGAGCAGTGATGTTTTGGGGCTGTCGCCGAGCAACACGGACTTTCAACTCCCGCCACAGATTTTCTATGGGGTTGAGGTCTGGAGACTGGCTAGGCCACTCCAGGACTTTCAAATGCTTCTTACGGAGCCACTCCTTTGTTGCCCGGGCAGTGTGTTTTGGATCATTGTCATGTTGGAAGACCCAGCCTCGTTTCATCTTCAAAGTTCTCACTGATGGAAGGAGGTTTTGGCTCAAAATCTCACGATACATGGCCCCATTCATTCTGTCCTTAACACGGATCAGTCGTCCTGTCCCCTTGGCAGAAAAACAGCCCCATAGCATGATGTTTCCACCCCCATGCTTCACAGTAGGTATGGTGTTCTTGGGATGCAACTCAGTATTCTTCGTCCTCCAAACACGACGAGTTGAGTTTATACCAAAAAGTTCTACTTTGGTTTCATCTGACCACATGACATTCTCCCAATCCTCTGCTGTATCATCCATGTGCTCTCTGGCAAACTTCAGACGGGCCTGGACATGCACTGGCTTCAGCAGCGGAACACGTCTGGCACTGCGGGATTTGATTCCCTGCCGTTGTAGTGTGTTACTGATGGTGACCTTTGTTACTTTGGTCCCAGCTCTCTGCAGGTCATTCACCAGGTCCCCCCGTGTGGTTCTGGGATCTTTGCTCACCGTTCTCATGATCATTTTGACCCCACGGGATGAGATCTTGCGTGGAGCCCCAGATCGAGGGAGATTATCAGTGGTCTTGTATGTCTTCCATTTTCTGATGATTGCTCCCACAGTTGATTTTTTCACACCAAGCTGCTTGCCTATTGTAGATTCACTCTTCCCAGTCTGGTGCAGGTCTACAATACTTTTCCTGGTGTCCTTCGAAAGCTCTTTGGTCTTGGCCATGGCGGAGTTTGGAGTCTGACTGTTTGAGGCTGTGGACAGGTGTCTTTTATACAGATGATGAGTTCAAACAGGTGCCATTCATACAGGTAACAAGTGGGGGACAGAAAAGCGTCTTACAGAAGACGTTACAGGTCTGTGAGAGCCAGAGATTTTCCATGTTTGAGGTGACCAAATACTTATTTTCCACCCTAATTTACGAATAAATTCTTTACAAATCCTACCATGTGAATTCATGGATTTTTTTTTCACATTCTGTCTCTCACAGTTGAAGTGTACCTGTGGTGCAAATTACTGACCTCTGTCATCATTTTAAGTGGGGGAACTTGCACAATCAGTGGCTGACTAAATACTTTTTTGCCCCACTGTACGTCCTCTGGAGACTGAACTCAAAATTAGATGCTGACAGTTGTGAATGAATTACAAGCAGCACAGACTGTATTGCAAGATGCATGAGCATTTCAGGCTGTGAATGTGAGATTGCGTTGCTGTATGGTTGTGCATCAGACTGTCGTTTCTCTCTCTGGCAGAGTATGGGCACATCTTTATATTCTCACTGTTGGATTGGGATTGGCGCAGAGTTAAATCATGTTTTTTTTGTGGGGTGAGTGGGTGAATAAGGTCTGCGTCAGTGCCGGGGCCGAAAGAGAGAGAGAGAGCACGTGCACGTATGTACCAAGATGCCTGCTTCTCTCCTCTTCTTCTGTGTCGGCTGTAAGCTGGGTGGTTTCAAGTGTACACAAGTGTACAAAGGGCATGTGCGCTGGGAACTGCTCAACACTCACAATAGTGGGAAGTGTGGTGGAAAGGAAGTCGGTAAGAGTATTGACATTAGCACCCTCAAAAGGGCTCATTTAAAAAGCGCAAGCAGTTTGTTATTCAGCTCATACCTGATCGGTAGTCTCATGCCTCTAGCCTCACCTTGCTTTGTTCCTTTCCTTTCCTTTCCCCACATTTCCAGCTCTCTTGTTTTGTTTTGCTCTTCCTCCCCTCTTTTCGTCCTCTACCTCTCCCATCCACTCCAACTCTAAGCCCCCCCCCCCATCCCATGGTTCCCTCTCCTCGTCTCTCATGTCCCCTCCTCTCTTCGCCTCTCCTCTCTCATCTTGTTCTCCGCTGCATCGCTCAGTCAGTTGGAGAGGCAAGAGTCTCTCCACTCGCACTGCCTGCCCGCCTCGTCGCTGTTGCTGCTGCTGCCTCGATTAGCCGTAGCCTCTCTTCTCTTCCCTTTCATTTCATTTTTTAAACTTATATTCTCAGCTTAATCACAGCCTTCCCTTCCTCATTCTTGGAAGTGTGATGTGTTTTGCGGCCGGTCACGTAGCTGTTAAGTCCGCTGTTTCTCTCTGGCGGTGTGTTGTAGTGTAGCTTTTGCTTGCTTTTGTTGTGGCATGTCTGTTTACATCAGCAGCATGGGTCGCAGGGCAGGGGCAGCCAGGGGCAGCCGAGGGAGCAGCACTAGCAACAGAGGAGGAGCAGCTGGAGAAGGAGGAGAGAAATGTGAAACGGGACTGGCAGGAGCACTGCCAGGAGACACAACCGCGGGAGGTGGAACGGGAGGGATAGCTGAGGATCAAGTGGTAGAGAAAGGAGGAGGTCCAGGACGAGCAGTGTATGGAGAAGGATGTGGTTCAACAGTAGCAGCGGGAGGAGCAGGAGGTGGACTGGGAGGAAGTGTGTGTCGGGGAGTTTGTGTGTCAGTCCAGGAGCTTAGCTACTGTCTCTGTCTGCCCTGTTGTTGTACAGTGTTACTGCAGCATGGAGCCGACCCCAACATCCGCAACACGGACGGCAAGTCCGCCCTGGACCTGGCTGAACCCTCCGCCAAGGCCGTGCTCACAGGTCAGTTTCCTGTCTGTCCTTTAAACGCTGCGTACACTCAGAACAGCAAATATGTGTTTCTTTCTGTCACGGTGTGTGTTCTTGTGCAGGCTGCTTGTGTGTACTGCTCATAGTTTCTTGTGTGCCTTCCCAGCGCTCTTCTACTCCTGTCTTCACGCTAAGTGTGCCCACAACTTTCATTTCCTCTCTCTCTCCCAAGGTTTCAGGCAGCATCACCTTTTTTCTGCCTTATCTGTCACGCTCTCATTTTACAAGGCTGCGCTGCTCTTGTGTTCAGTGTGGACTGCACACCCATTGGTTACTACATCCCATTTTCTTTGTTTTGCTTCTCTCCAAGGCTGGAGTTTGTGGTTAGCGAGGTCGTGTCTCTGCTTTCCTTTTTGTTCTCTCTTTTTTATTTTCTTCGTTGAGTCTTTTTGGCTGAAGCTGCACTCATCGATCAGTCACTCAATAAACCATTGTTGAATTGTGTTGAATTTTTTTTTTTGCTCGCTTGCCTTTCTCTCTGTAGTCCTTTATTTTTCCTTCTTTCCTTGCCTTTATTCACAGAATTATATCATGAACAGCAGCAAATTGATAAGAACTTTGCACTGCAGGTCCACATGTATTAGCCGCTGCAACACCCTAATGTGTGCGAGGATAAGCATTGATCATCATTTCCTACACGGCTTGATGTGAGATTTAGATTTTTAGACTGAAATCACAAGGAACTAATAGCTAACATTCAAATCCTTTTGACTTTTCCCTTTTTTATGTATTAAATCATTTCCTTACGGTAAGGCAGTAGAAACAGGTTTTGACGTCCCCCAAGCAAAAGAAGGGGGAAAAAAAGCTTGCAGCGCATTAGTGACCAAAAAAACTTTGCTGTGAAACTCAAGCTAATTATTGGTTCTTTCATTGTTATAAGCTCATAAAAGCAGCAGGACTCATTACACCTATTCAGTGGTAGAGGAACCACTGGGACATAGTTACAGCTTTTTAATGAGGAGCTTTTGAAAAATATATATTTTTAATAAATAGTTAAAACCCCCTTTTTATTATTTTATCTCAATTTTTTTTTTTTTTTTTACATCTTTCCTTTCATTATCATCACTTCTTGGCATTGCATATGTGTTATTTTGACGATCAGAGCGCTTGTTTCACAGCGATCACTCAGATCGCAAAGGTTGAAAGACTGTGGGTTCGTATGGATCCGAATGTTTTGGTTCGCTGTAGTCTTTAGTAAGTAGACTTTTATATTCTCTTACTTTCGCTCTCTCTGGGTATTGATGTTGACTCTAAATCAGCACCCGCTTCTGTGTTTACGCTGAATTTCATCACCGTGCTGGTCCTCGCTGGTAAATGAGATGAACCTGGAGATACTACAGCGAGGAGCAGTGCGGTGTCAAAACAAGGCGCTCCACAGTATATTTGATAGAAAATGTTTACCGAACATTGCAGACTTAATTAAGTGTGCTTATACTTTATGTAATGACTTGAGGAGGCTAATAATGTAAACAACAAACCGACTGAGACCTGCTTCCAAATTGGGAGTATAGTAGTGCAGCTTACACTGCGTACTCGCACAGAAGCTCACAGGAAAAGGTTTTTTTTTTTTTTAAATGTTCTTCTCTGTGAACTCCTTTAATTAGAATAACAAGGATGTGAGTTGCTTAGAACAAGGGATGTCAAGCAAAGATCTTGCATGTGGTATTTACAAGCAACATGAATGTCGTTATTGTGTGGTTATACATGCTGATTTGGCCCGTTCGCCAGCACAGTCAGCAGTTGCAGCAGTGGCTGTGACACGGGGCTCATGAAGGTAATTAAGGCATTGCAGCTACTTCTGCCCAAAGTCATAACTCAGTCAAGTCTGAACACATTTTAATTTAATTTAATTTTTTTATGCTCAAGTGTGATTTACGCTTCCATGTGATAACTGGAAGAACTGCAAACAGAAACTGCTCAAAGTTAATTTGCCATATTGCCAGAGTTATCGCGATGCTTGCGTTTAATCAGCACCAATTGCCCATCATCAAATTCCTTTTTTATTGCATACACTGATTCAACTCACTGTTTGAGGACACTCGGTCTGCATCCAATGTATCGATGGAACAGGACAGTATTCCACCAAAATCAGAACATCTGTGCAAGGCAAAAACTGGAGCACGAACAAAAAACGCTGCACGCCTCCTGACAGAGCAACACCTGGAGCTGACAAAAAACTCAATGGAGAGCCACCTGAAATAGACGCAGAACAGTAATACCCATGATTTATTTTTAACTTACTTTCTCATTTTAACGTCACATAACTCTGTTCAATTTACAATCCAGTCGGCAAAGAAGTTGGTATGGTGAAGAAAATGTAAATCACAATAGAATGCAATGGTTTGCAAGTAATAATAGAAATTCTATATTTGTTTTAAATAAGAGTTCAAAGGCATTTTTACTTTCTTTAAATGAAACTGACATTCATATTTTGATTTTGATGCCAGCTATGCTTATCAAGAGTTGGGACAGGGGGATGTTTTCCACTGTGTTGCATCATCCCTTCTTTTAGCAACTGTAGTTATTTTGGAACTGAGGAGACCAATTACTGCAGTTTTAGAAGCAGACGTTTTTCACATAGATGTTTGTAATGGGATTTTAGCTGCATAACAGTCTAGACTCTCCCAGGTCATATCTTTAACATTTCATGACAGCCAAGTATTTACAATGGATAAGAAGTCTGGACTGTAGGTGGGCCTTTTTAATACAGAGCTATGCTTTGTAATGTGCGCAGAATTTGCTTTGGCACTGTCTTGCTGAAGAAAGGTCCTCACTAAAAAGATGTCTGGATGTAAGAAAACTGGTGTGCATTCTCTGACCACCTTGCACCCTTTTGCCTCCAGAACTGTGTGATTTCTTCATGGCGTAGATTCTGCAAAATGTTGGAAACATTCCCTTAAGGGGTTTTTATCCGTATTGATATGATGACTGTCACACAGCCATCAAGTCTTTCCACTTCCTGAAGGTGCTGTAGTGGATTGATATCTGGTGACTGCGGCAGTCATTTGACTCAGTGAACTTATAATCATGTTTTAGGAAATGAGTTTGAGATGATTTAAGCTTTGTGGCATGATGCGTTATCTGGCTGGAAGCAGCCATCAGGACATGGGTACACTTCACAGCAATACTCAATTAGGCTGTGGCATATTGAATAATGATTAGTTGGTACTAAGGGGCCTTAAGTGTGCCAAGAAACTACCACAGCATTGCACCAACACCAGCATACTAAACCTCCAGGCAGGAAGGATCCATGCTGTTGTTTATAGCAAATTCTGACCCTATCGTCCAAAAGGGGCAGCCGAAACTAAGCCTCAACAGACCATGCAACTTTTCTTTTCCAATCTTTTTTTAGCTTAAAGCTGAAAGCAGTCTGGCCATTCAGCTCTGGTATCAAAAAGATATTTTCAACTAGACAAATGCCACCCATTAGATATTTTTTCTTTTTTGGACCATTCTCTGTAAACCATGGGCATGGTTGTGTGGGAAAATCCCAGTAGATCAGTAGACTCAGAGAAATACTCATACCAGCCAATGTGGCACCAACAACCATGTCATGTTCTGCTCCAGTCGGATGCTTGGTTGAAACTGAAGCAGGTCGTCTTGACCATGTCTACATGGCTAAATACATGAAGTTCCTGCCATGATTGTCTGATTAGATATTTGTGTGACATGACATATCGGAAGGTAAAACTCCAATTAGGAAGTTGCTAAACAGATACAGATCTAGCATAGAGCTGAAAACATAAATGATGATGGACTGCTTGTGACTCTTTTCAGGAGAGGCAGATGTGTGTTGTGACATTTCTGTGAAAAAGTCAATAGTAAAGTATTTACAAGGACAGCTAAACCTGTCAGTTTGAAAATGTGTCATTTTCAAAAATAATCTGCTGACGCATTCAGGCGAAAAAATATAGCTACCGGTGAAAATAGTTGATCACCGGCAGTCTGAGTCTCCACGCCACTGCGAGTTCCCTTCATCCTGAGGTGGTTTTGTTTGTGGCTCGGCTCAAACAAATCACCACATCTTGTTTGTACCGTGAATTATGTTTTTAATAGTAGACACTAATTACCCACGCTATCATCCCGTTACATTGTCTCTGCACGTCACGCCATTCTGGAAGGATTGCGCTGTTGTAATTACTGTAGGAAGTGATGCGTTTAATGGGATGCACTGACTGACAGTTTTAGTATTGAATATATGGTCTGGGTTTGGTAAAGGCTGCAGGAAAAAAATGAGCTAGGGGAGTTATTGTGAACGTATGTACTTGTGTTTTTTATTTGTAGCCTGTGCCGTGCTCTACGTGACGGTATGGACCTTTTTCCCTCGTCCTATGTATTGTGTGTCTTAGATTTAAAGGTTCTGCTCTATTCCACTTCTCTGCCGCAGGCCAGCACAGCTTTCAGTCTGCAGTGATGGAAGTTTATATTGACCCATAAATTAGCTATACTGCTCTGCCACATCCAATAGGGTGCTCTTAGGAAAGTCTGTCCCCTGTTAGCTGGGGATGTGAAACGGAAAGGCAAAAAAATTCTGTTGATATATTTATTTTAATGTGGGTTCAAACCCCTCACACTGTGTTGTAATTTTAAAAAGCAACTCTGTCAGATGACATCTGCGAATTAGTTTTTTTTTTTTTTTTTTTTGTTTATCTTTTGTGAAGTTCATCTCGCAGTTTGGTTTCCTGACCAGGATGAACATCACAACAAGACAGACCCGTGTGGACTGCCAGCTTTTTGTTCTGTTAATTTACTCAGGCGCTCCCCAGATGCTCTTTTTACACACACACAGCCAGGGAAATCTGCAGATTGCTGTTTCAGTCTGTTGCAAGCATCAGACACAACTACTCACGTCACACTAGGGGGTAGACTCACATGGACAGCTTCACTTCCTACGTTTCTGACAAGTATTTGATGAATAAAGCCCTGGTGTTGTGCTTCTTGTTGGTTGCAGAAGTTCAGTTGTGTTAGACTCT